GGGATTGCGGCAGGTCCTCGGCTCCAGCGTCCTGCCTGAGCCGGGGATAGGGCAGGCGCGCCAGGGGTCCGGCCTCCCACACCCTGTACACCACGGCTTACCCTGCCTTCCCCACTCCCGTTCCCCAGACGGCGTCGGGCGCGATGACTCTGAATGGCGGCGGCAGCGGAGCGGGCGGGAACCGCGGCGGGGGCCGGGAGCGCGAGCGCCGTCGGGGCAGCACACCCTGGGGCCCGGCGCCCCCGCTGCACCGCCGAAGCATGCCGGTGGACGAGCGGGACCTGCAGGCGGCGCTGGCTCCGGGCGCTCTGGCAGCGGCCGGGACCGGGACCGGGGCCCAGGGTGCGACGCTCGAATGGCACGAGGGCTCCTCCGAGTCGCTCAGCTCAGGGGGCAGTGACTCAGACGAGAGCGTCTACAAGGTGCTGCTGCTGGGGGCGCCTGGCGTGGGCAAGAGCGCTCTGGCGCGAATCTTCGGTGGTGTAGAGGATGGGCCTGAAGCAGAGGCCGCAGGTGAGGGGCTGGGACTATTCCAGGGAGGGGAGATGCCAGGGTTGGGACTGAGGGCTACAGGGCTGGGGAACTGGATTAAAAGCCGCACATACCGTGGGATTCTGAAGGCATTTTCAGAACCATGCTTCTACTGACCCGTTTCATGGTTGGGGAAATTAAGAGAGAGGGGACCTCCAGCTCTTGCTAGAGGGAGAGATGCCCGGAGTAGAAGACCCATACCTGAGACAACTCTTAGGATAGGAATGGGACATCTCTCCCTGCCAGGGTTGACAGGAACACAACCAGAGGGAGTTTCTAGGAGAGAGCCCTGGGTGACAAAGGCTCTAAGAATATGACAGTCACTATTTTAACTCAGGCCACTGTGGTCGGAGCTACCTTGGGGCCAAGACATCAGGATTGGCCACCCAGGACATTGGTAGCTTGGGGAAGAGGTGTCTAGGTGAGGATCAGGAAGGCCCCCCATGCCCTCTACTTCCCACTTCCCAGCCCTGTTATTTCTGTTGTCACATAGTGGCCATAAGTGGAGGGAAAGGTTAGGGGGGCTCTGGAGTGGAGTTGGAAGGGGTGGCCAGAACAGTAAACCTGGCACATGGTGTGGGAGGGTGGCTTCTTGCAGCCAGCAGGTAACCTGACTACTAGTCTCCTTCCTAGGGCACACATATGATCGGTCCATCATCGTGGATGGAGAGGAGGCATCACTCATGGTCTATGACATCTGGGAGCAGGTAGGCTGCAGGCTGAGACCCAGGGCAGGGTGGGAGCGTGACCCAGGGGATAGAGGCCTGCTGATAGTGGCAGCCTTGTAGCCTGGGGGCATGAGAATTATTTGGTAGATATGTGTGTATATGTGTTCCCCAGGATAGTGGCCGCTGGCTACCTGGTCATTGCATGGCTATGGGCGATGCATACGTCATCGTGTACTCAGTGACAGATAAGGAAAGCTTCGAGAAGGCCTCAGAGCTGCGAGTCCAGCTGCGGCGGGCACGGCAGACGGATGACGTGCCCATTATCCTAGTGGGCAACAAGAGCGACCTGGTGCGCTCTCGAGAGGTCTCCTTGGATGGTGAGCAGGGAGCGGGTTGGAAAGGGAGGGACATCCTAACTGGGCTGTGGTCCATTCAGTCTTGGCTCAGCTCAAGTCCCTGGGGATCATGAGTGGCTAAAAATGTTCAGGAAAAAAACTTGAGGGGGAGAGAGAGAGAAAACTGCTACCCTCCCACTGGACTCTCAAAGGTCCAAGAGGGCTGGGGAAAGGACCAAACGCACGAGGGGAGGTGGAAGCTGCTGTGCACTGAGCTGGGCCACCACAGGGTCCTCGTCTCCTGTCCCTTTTGGCCCTGGCCTGACAGACAATGGGTGAGGAGAGCACAGAGAACTGGGATAGGAGGTCACAGAGTGGATTTGGGGCCGGGGCCAGTCTTGGCATGGGCTTGTGCCTGGGAAGGATTCTCCCCTCTTGGGCTCAGCATTCTCCTCTGTGACCCCCCAGAACTGAGCCCCTCAGAGGAACCTAGCAGTGACTTGGTGACATTCTCCTTCTAGTTTCACTGGTATATAACACCAAACCATGAAGCACTAAGCTGCTCAACAAGGTTCTCGTTCTCTTGTGTTGAGTACTGTAGCATTTCTATTTTAATATCCGACTTCAAATTATTTCAATAAACGAGTTTCCTTTTGTGGGCCTTTGTGAACTCCTTAAACGTGGGCACATTCTACCAGTTGGGTGACCCAGCAATGCCCTGGATCCTCTGTACAGGAGCTGCGTTCTATGTTTCTGGGAACCACCCAGGGATCCCCCTTCCCTGACCCTGAGATTCCTGAGTGGCAGCTGCAATGGGGTGACCAGGATTTGAGTGGACTTCTCACCCACCCACGCTTTGTTTAACCAGAATGTGCCTTTCCCCACCAGAGGGCCGGGCGTGTGCCGTGGTCTTCGACTGCAAGTTTATTGAGACCTCAGCAGCGCTGCACCACAATGTCCAGGCCCTGTTTGAGGGTGTCGTGCGCCAGATACGCCTGCGCAGGGACAGCAAAGAGGCCAATGCACGTCGACAGGCGGGTACCCGGCGGCGAGAGAGCCTTGGCAAGAAGGCAAAGCGTTTCTTGGGCCGCATTGTAGCACGCAACAGCCGCAAGATGGCCTTTCGCGCCAAGTCCAAGTCCTGCCACGATCTCTCCGTGCTCTAGACTCTACAGGCACATACTGTGTTGTGCATACACGTGGGTGGATTGGTGGGCTGGCCCAGCCAACTGCCCTAGGTGCCTCAGGGCTGGCTCGGACTCTGGGCATACCCCACCTCATGGTCACGGACAGACAGACAGTGCTGCCCAGGGAGGCAGCTCCCAGTGACCATCAAGGGCTGGGCCCACAGCAATGTGTGTACAGGCCAGTGTGTGTTCCAAGCAGCAGCCTGAGCCCAGCCCCTGGGGCAGGCCTCTTGGGGTGTGCATGCTCTGGAGGGAGGCTGTTCAGTGCAGTGGTTATTTGTTTACATGCAAATTTTTGTAATAAAGACTATTTCCTGATAGATCAGGGCTGTTAACTCTGTATTTCCTCCCAGTAGGGGGTTGTAGGAGGAGGAAGTGTTCCTGAGGTTAAGGGATAGGGCCTCACTGCCCTTCCCTGGTGTGTGGCCTTGATTATCCTAATATTTGAGCTCTGATATGTTCAGCTGAATCAGAGGGGCAGGTGTGGTTGTGGCCTGGTTGGGGATCCAAGCAGCAGGAGGAGATAATAGCCCCTCCCAGCTTGTTATCCAGATTTTTCTCTTGCACTGGGGCCTAGCAATGCCCAGCTGATTAAAGGTTCAATCTCTCCACTGTGGGTCAGGGAAACTGAGGCTGTCTGAGGTACCATGCCCTGCCCCAGGTCTCATGGGCAAACAAGAGCCCTGGGTCTGGCTGGGTCCTGGGCTGGTGTCTCCGTCCTGCTCCCTGCTGAGAGTGGCTGGAAAGTTGCTTAAGTGGGGTAGCTGTGGAAGACTTCTGAGACTCCCTGGCTGGGAAAGAAGGAGGCTAGTGTCTGAGGCTGGGATACTGAGAAAGGGAGGGCCTCACTCTTCTCTCCTCTGGGAGGGGCCAGGCCAGAGCATCCCAAGCTTAGCACTGGCTAATGTGGTGTTGGCAGGAACAGCTCCCTGGAACCCTCCCTGCCCGGAATGAGAGGCCTTGCATTGGTGTGGGAATGTGTGCCTGTTCGCTGATAGCTGGCAGTGTGCCTGTCTCCCCACCACCCACACCAGGCACAGGTGACTGCTGGGACTTTACCTACATTGTTTCAGGAATGAGTATCTCCATTTGGCAATTATAGATGGGGAACTGCAGCGGTTGCCTGAGGTCACACAGGTAGAAGTGGCTGAGTGGGGACTGGTATACTAGTCTGCTGGTCTCCAGAGCCCAAAGGCAGCCTAGGGCGAGGCTTGGTCAAGGGTCCATACAATTCCTTCATTGGTTCAATTTATTCCACAGACTCCTAGGTGCTCTTGCAACCTGGTTAGAACACTGCAGTTGTTCGTTGGCAGAAGGTGTGAGTTGTTCATTGGCAGTTGTTCAACGTGCACAACCTGCAGTGTGCAGAACCCATCTTGGCTGACGCACGTGCTCCCCAGGGCAATGTTAAGTGCACAGAGCTTTGTCCCTCCCCACTCCCAGCCTGCAACATACTTAGAGGCATGTGGAAGGCATGGTTTTCTCAAAGCAAGTGAAGGTCCTGAGGCCTGAAGAAAAATCCAGGCCTTCCTGGCTCTGCTACTTATTAGCTTTGTGACCCTGGGCAACCCACTCAGCATCTCTGTGCCCCAGTAAGTGACATGGGAACAATGCCCCTTCAGAAGGGAGTTGGGGTAATAGTGAAGGTATGCGCTCAGAGCAATGCCAGGTGCATAGTAGGAGCTTAACATACATGAAACCCCTTCAACCACCCCACAGTGCACTGCTTCGGGCTGTGGTGCCTGGGGTGCCTGAGTTACACTTGGCTTGTGGCAGACAAGGCTGGAGGCAGGTGAGGAGTTTCTGCCCATCCTCCAGATATGCAGTGGGAAGGACTCAGGGAAGACCATGGGAAACTCTGAGAACAAGGAAGGACTGGAGATGGTATCCCTGACCCTTCCCACACATCCTCCTTGTGGACTCCCAGGCCCCAGAAACTTTTCCTGGCTCCACTTGGCTGCCCTCATGGGGGGAGGGGCCTCTTGCAATCCCTGCAATTCCCTCAAGGTCACCTGAGCTGGCTCAATCTTCTCTTCCTTCTCAGAGGCACGAGACAGTCCATTTTCCCAGCCCTGTCAGTGTCAGCAGCTAGTGTGAACCCTTAGGGAGCCTCAGGGGATCTCAAAGGCTGCTGATTGCTCCACCCATTGGTCCCAGTGGTGGGTGGTCTAGAGCCCCAAATACCCAGTTCAGGTCATGTTCATTTATCCTTCATGTGCAACCTCCTTGTTTTTGATCCAGTCAGGAGCTGCCAGGGCCAAGCAAGGGCAAGGTCATTACTGCGTCCCTGAGACTTGCCCTGGAGGGCTCCCAGTCTGATAGAAGAGACAGTGGCAGTCTGGTGTCTTCTCTGCTCTGATAGAGGTAGCACATTACATGGGGTAGAGATTATTCCCAGAAGAGAATCCTGAACAAGCGTGGGATCCCAGGGAAGGTTTCCTGGAGAAAGAAATAGCTGAGTACTGAAGCCTGAGTAGATGTTCACCAGACAGATGAAGGGAGGGAAGGACATTCCCTACGAAAGGAACAGAGTGGGCCAAGATAGAGCTGCAGATTCTGGTACATGGAGGAGAAGTGGGATCGAGTCTGAAACCACAGAAGAAGAAGTAATGTCCAAGCCTAAAGGGCCAAGAAATACCCATTGGGCTGTGTAGGAATGGGAGAAGTGCCAGGCCAATGATCTCCCCACCTCCTGGGGCTGGCAGTCATGGATGCTGAGCAGCCCCCAGCTTTCTAAAGTCAATGAGTAACTTTGGGGGGCTGGGCAGGGCCGGGTCTGCTGCTGTGGGCCAGTGGTGTTTTCCACTCCTGAGCAAGCCTGGCTGGACCGCCTACCTGCTCAAGTGTCCGCCCTGCCCTACCCCACCCATCCCGGCCTGGCCAGTGCTCCCTGGAGAAGGAGTCCTCTCGCCTGGCGGCTGGACCAAGGGAGCCCGCCTGAGGCACCAGAGGGTGAGGTCCTTGGAGTGGAGGGGTGAGCAGGGCTGAGGCTGGGGGTTGGTGGTAGGGGAAGGACAAACACTGCCCTGTCCAGCCCCTGTTCGGGGAAGAATTCCCAGGAGCAGTTGGAGTGGTTGTCCGTGCTCTGCATGCTCAGCTCCAAGCTGAGTGCTGAAAAATGCCAAGATGAGGGCAGGACTCCTGTCCCGAGGGGACTCTGTGTCTGAGGGATGGCAGTGTGTAGAAAAACAGGCCTCAAGACCCTGAACCATGAGTCCTCTGTTCCAGGAGGGATTGTCCTGTGGTCAAGTCCTCTGTGACCTTGGTCAGGTCTTGCCTTTGAGGCTTTACCTGCAACATGAGGTGACTGCAGGAAGTGACCCTTAGAGTCCTCAGGGCCCTTCCAGATTCAAGTTTTTGGGATATGCAGGGCTGCTGGGCAATTAGCACTTTGGGATCTACATACAGGCTAGGGAGGGTATGTTGGGAAGGAGACAAAGGTCTGGAGGTGAAACTCCCATGGAGATCCTTGTGGGGCCAAGAACCAAGAGGCAGGATGGCTGGGCCTAGGGGCCTAGGTGGGCCTGGTCAAGGAGCTGGATGCTACCCTGCAGGCAGTGGGGAGCCACAGGCCCCTCCAAGAGGAGAAAGTGGAGCACAGTCTGTCGTGAGGTCCCACTGGCTATTTGTGTGGAATGGGCTGAGGCAGGGGACAAGGATGAGAGTGGGTGGAGAGCAATGTCCAAGTGGGTGGGATGGGGAGGGGCATCTCTGGGAGTATAGAAGGACAGGAGACAGGAGGAGACCTGGCTGACTGCCCCATAGTGACAGGTAGCAGGAGGTCCAGCTGAAGAAGGGAAAGTTGCACCTGTGGGGCTTGAGGAAGCCATGGCTTGGGCTGAGTGGCGATGAGAGGAGGGATACTCTCTAGGAGGAGAGTAATGGGAGGGACCCCGTGCCTACTGATCCTGGCTGTACCCTCACTGCCGTGTCCTTCAGGCCCATCCTGACCATGGTCCCTGCCTGGCTGTGGCTGCTTTACCTCTCTGTTGCCCAGGTGAGCTGGACCCTGCTCGACTCCTTCAGATCCTGGCCCTGGGTGTTGGCACCATTGTCCCCCACTCCACCTGGACTAGTTGCACTGACCATGGAAGAGACTAGTTGTGGGAGGGCGTTCAGAGCTGGCTATAGGCCTGTTGTGGGATCAGGAGGTCAAAGACCAGAGGGTGGATGGGTTAAGGTATGGCCAGGCCTATGGAAGGGGCAGAAATTCCCCTTGTCAGCTGCCTGTGAGACAAGGTGAGAATCCTCCCCCAGGTTCTCCCAGACGCCCAGCCTGCAGAACTGTATGTGGAAGTCCCAGAAAACTATGGTGGAAATTTCCCTTTGTACCTGATCAAGGTAAGCCTGAAAGCTGGGTGGGTTATCCACCCCCAAGTCCTGCTTCCCCTACCTCCAGCATTTTATCTCTTTCTTTTAATCCTGCTTCCCCAAGAATATGTGCTGTAGTGAGTGAGTAACAAAATTTCAATTCCAGAAGAAAGTAGAGTTTTAAGTTGAAAAATAAATAATTGGTTGGGGCACTTGGGTGGCTCGGTTGAGCGACCGACTTCAGCTCAGGTCATGATCTCACAGTTCACGAGTTCAAGCCCCACATCAGGCTCTGTGCTGACAGGTCAGAGCCTGGAGCCTGCTTTGGATTCTGTGTCTCTTCTCTCTCTCTGCACCTCTCCTGCTCTCCCTCTCTGTCTCTTAAAAAAATAAAAATAAATTTCTAAAAAAAAAGAAAAACAATTGGTGGTGGGGTTTCAAGGTTTAGAAAGGAAGGCAGGGAGTATTGGGGTGCATCAGGTACAGGGGAAAGAGCTCCGGCTTTGAATCTCAGTCCTATGACTTCATGGCTGTTTGACCTCAGGCAAGCGCTAGCCCTCTCTGAGCTTCAGTCTCCCCACATATATAATGGGGTCATTGGGTGGAGGGGCATCCCCCAGGCCTGGCTCCCACTGCCTTTACCTCTCTGTTCTCCCCAACAGCTACCA